AAAAAAAACACCAAATAAAGATTCACTTGAAACTATACTTGAATTAACATATTTAATGAAAATGATGATATATCAACATTAATTGCATCATTTGTTAAAAATCCTGAATCTGTTTTACAAGAACTTGATGTTCAACGTTTTAAGTGCTATTTTTTCTAGACAATCATCAATTATAAGTACAACACCAAAGTATTCGACATGGTATGAATAGTTCGATTGTTATTCTTTGTTCGAAACTCTTTTTCTTTTTTTTTGATTGTTAGGTTCGACTAGTGAGATTAATATAGATACAGCTAGTATAAATGATTCGATATCGATTACAAATAATCAAGTATAAATTTTATTTTAAACAAAAAAGTGAATTCATCTTTTTTGCTTCTGTCTTATAGAAGAATAATGGTGAATTAGCAGTTATTGATGATAATAATGAAATTAATAAAATAAATTCAACTCGATATGAATAATACAAGTGCTACTACTATTCCATACGGTATATCGAATAATAATAATTGATATGACATATAGAGAGACGAACTATCACACTCTAGAACATTATTTTTTTGATTTTTTTTTGTATATAGCTAGTATTCCTACCAGTGAATCATCAACAATAAATAAAAGTCAATTATCTGAATTAAAACTTTCTGAATATTCAAAAGGAAATTTTAATTCAAATGAATCATCATTATCAATAAATACAACTGAAAAATTAGAACGTGCATTGTCAAATATTGCACCATTTTTACGTGATATATTTATAGAATTTTCACATATTCTTACAAAAATATTAGTTAGTTTACATGGACAAAAATTATTACCAAGTGGTTTACATGCACTTAAACAGCATCTATTGTTGAACTTGTTATATTTATTATGCTCACAAGAATGGCAAAATTCTCTTCAAGTAATAAATATTCAAATCGAAAAAATTTATCTTGTTGTCTAAAAACTTTTTCATACATTTTGTTTTTGGTTTTAGAAATATACTGGTTTAGCTTTTATTGAATTAGTTAATGAAGGACATTTATTATCACATGCAAGTAAAGATCATGTTGTTAAAGTAACTAATGCATGAAGTTGATTTTATACTTAATCGTATGCGTGCTGATGATATATGTAAAGCAAGTGAATTTGGAACAATTATGTGAACATTTTATAACAGCATCACGTTTACAAGAAAATTTTTTAGCTATGATGATTAATGATAAAACAGCTTATTTAAATAGTTCAAGATTATTTTGGAAATTAGATCCATGAGAAGATGATTTAAGACGACGACGTTTAATACGTAGTCCAAATGGTTCCACACATAGTGAAACAAAACAAAAATCATCATTTAATAGTATTAATGATGATATAATAACATCNTTAAAGTAGCTAATGAAGCAGATTTTATTCTTAATCGTATGCGTGCTGATGATATACGTAAAGCAAGTGAATTTGAACAATTATCAGCACAAACAACTGTTGAACATAAATCTGAAGAACAATTATGTGAACATTTTATAACAACAGCACCTCAACGACATCAAGTTATAGCATCATGTTTAAAAGAAAATTTTTTAGCTATGATGATTAATGATAAAACAGCTTATTTAAATAGTTCAAGATTATTTTGGAAATTAGATCCATGAGAAGATGATTTAAGACAATGGCGACGTTTAATACGTAATCCAAATGGTTCTATACGTAGTGAAGCCCTACAAAAATCATCATTTCATGGTATTAATGATGATATAATAACATCTGTTATACAAGAAGAAAATTTATTAAAACAATTAAAACAACAAAAAATACAAAATTTTAATCAAACAATACCGGATGATGATGAAATATTACAAGTTGATGAAAAAGATCTTGATCAAGATTTTTCAGGACCAATACGTTTTTCAACTGAATGTTCATTAATTTGTGGTACAACTGTTACACATGATACTTTAGCTATGACACATAATGCTATGTTATTTGATGCTAATGAATGTGATGAAAGTTTTACAAAAATCGATTCAAAAGTAAATCAATAAATTATTGAAAATCACATATATATTCTATTGTTTTTTTTTTATTTAAATGTTTCCTTATATTGATAATACTCATGGAAAATGGCATTTTAATGAAATACGAGCTATATTTTCAAGAAGATATCTTTTACAAGACAAAGCATTAGAAATATTTGTTTCGAATAGAAGTATGAATTAAATAGATAATTATTCTTATTTTTTTTCAAGTTATACTTTAGGGTATTAAACTTATAAATAACATCATTTTCGTTCGAGCAAGAATTGATCCATCCTTATTCAATATTCTATAATAAATAGAATTTTTTGAGTTTTTTTGTTTTGAAATGATTCAATTATAACATTAGACTAGAACCCCGAAATTGTTCAAGCATGTCAATTTAATAATCAGAAATATAGTAAATCAGATTTATTGGTTTTGCTATGTAATTCTATTGCAAAAAAACCTTTCGCTAATTGCTATACTCTTCGTATTAAGATCTGTTTCCATACAAAGTTTGCAAATCGAAAAATAATCTAAGAGATATTTATCTTCAAGATTGAATTATTATTTCGATCTATGTTTTTTTCTTTATAATGTACTTTTCCAAATTTGTATTTTAGCAAGTGTTGTTTGCATTTAATGATCGTTCAATTGTAAAAAAAGTTGTAAGCTTTTTACCTCGAGTTGGTGTTGGTAGTCGTTATGGTTTACCACAACAACGGTTAGTAAATTATCTCATTCATTATTTTATATATATATATTATTTTTAATCTTATTTAGACGAACATCATTAGCATCACCAAAACAATTATTTCGTTCAGCAAATATGATTCAACGATGGCAAAGACGAGAAATTTCAAATTTTGAATATCTTATTTATCTTAATACAATTGCAGGTATAATCGAATAACAAAAGAATATATATAAATTTATAAAAAAAAATAAGTTTTTATAGACGTAAGTACGGGTGTTGATTCGGTCATGGGTATTTATATTCTCATCACACACACCACACCACATTCACACCCTCCATTTGGTTGGATTTTTATTATTTTAATTATTAAATAAAAATGAATTTTATATTTAGATGTTGCTAAAACAAGAATATTGCTTGCTCATGTAAATATTAGAAATATTTTTTTAATTTATTTTACTGATAAATATGTTTCAGTAGCATACAGATATTGATGCAACTTCTCATTCTTTGAAAATTATGAAAAATATTCTCAAAAATGAAGATTTTACAGCGTAAGTTTTTCTTTAGTTTAAAATAAAATATTAGAAATAAATGTTATTTATATTGATAGTCTGTATAGTGGTATTCTCGCTAGTACCATGTAGATATCAATAGGTGGTTTAATTTATCTTAGTGCATTTGAATTTGTTACATGATTATTTTTTCCTGAAAACAATTAAATTTATTTTATTTTTGTTAAAAATTTCTATTCTAATTTTCATTTCTAAATATATATTATTCAAGAAATAAAAATCTCGTTTTTATTATATTTGACTGATCAGAAAAAAAGATATTTTCGTCAAGTAAATAGAGCAAAAAAGACCTACTTACTCACATACAATACGTAGGTAATGTTAGCACCAGATTCGCGTATTTCCTGTGCCGATTCGCCCCTACGTCTGTGCTGGTCCCCTACTTGGTTGTGCTGGATGCAGAATTTAATTCTCTATCGAATGGTGA